CCGCCGCCGCGCCCCATTGGCCGCCCGGCTGACGGCGGCCCCGCCCCGCGGCCCCGCCCCGCTGCCGTAAAGCACCGGAGGAGTAGAGGGGGTCGCTTTGCGACAGGGGGCGGTGGCGGCGGTTCCGGCGCTGTGACGGAGCGGAGTTTGGGCCTCGCGCTCCTCCGGGGGCGGGTGAGTGGCGAGAGTTGCCTGCCAGCCACCGCCGGGCAGCGAGGCGGGGACGGGCCCGTGCGCTCCGCGGCTCGGGGTGACTAAGCGGGGCCGCGGGTGTGAGGGAGGGGGGAGGCGAGAGGCGTGGCCTGGAGCGAAAGAGGCGGGGCCGAAGCAGGCGGGGTGGAGCTGTTGCGATGTGGGCGTGGTTTGATCATACGGGGGCGGGGCCTTGGGGAGCGAGGCTGTGGCAGGAGGGGCTGAGGGGGGAGAGCCCGTGAGGGGCTGAGGGGGAGCCCGGGCTCCGGGCACTGAGGGGAGAGCCCCGGCGGCGCTGAGGGAGAAACGCGCGGGTGAAGGAAGGAAGGAAGAGGAGCCCGGGCTCCGGGCGCTGAGGGGAGAGCCCCGGAGGCGCTGAGGGAGAAACGTGCGGGTGAAGGAAGGAAGGGTCGCCGGGCGGGTGCGGATGCCGGGCCGGGAAGCCGTGCCGGTGGAGGGGCGGGAGGCCTCGGCCGCCCTCAGCGCGGCAGGACGGGGCTGTGGGGGCCCTGGAGGAGCGGCAGCTCCGGGCTCGCTCTGTCACCGCGGGTGTCGCGGGTTCCGATGAGCGGCCAGGCCGGGTCCGGGTCCGCTCCTGCCCGCCGTGGCTAAAGGCGCTCGGCAGAATCGCAGCTGAGGGGCCACACTTAACTGGGATTGCGCTGCTCCGGTTGTTTGGAAGCTCTGGAAGGCAATGACACTGATTTAGAGGCGTTTACAGTGTTTCAGCACTGACCAGAAGCTTATTAATTGAGAGATGAGCCTACGAAGTCAGTGCAGGTACAAGGAGTCCAAAGTGCATTTTGTTCCTTAAAGGCTATGATAATTTCATTTTAAGGAGATCCAGAGTCTTCAGATTCAGTGCAGGTACAAGGAGTCCAAAGTGCATTTTGTTCCTTAATTTCGTTGTAAGGAGGTCCAGAGTCTTCAGAGTCACACCCAAAAGTCATGGACTGAGATTTCATTTTGCTTTATCAGATTTAATTTGTTATTAAAATAGGATGGAGTTTTGGATAGTTTTTCTAGAAAGAAGGGCTTTAAAGCTCATCCCATTCCACCCCTGTCCTGGGCAGGGACACCTCCCACTGTCCCAGGCTGCTCCCAGCCCTGTCCAGCCTGGCCCTGGGCACTGCCAGGGATCCAGGGGCAGCCACAGACATGCAACAACTCAGGGATATAAGTGAAGAGGCATTAGTTTCTTTCCCCATTCTGTTTGCAGCTCCACTTGACTTTGGTTTTGATTTTAAAGCATTATTAATGATGAAAGTAACATACAAAATCCTTTTTTTTTGTTTGTTTCTTACTTTCTGTGTAGTTTTCCTTTCTGTCTCTTCCATGATCAGTCTATAGATAAGGTTTTTAGAACTGTTCCCTGTTGTTTGTGCAGGAATCTGGCTCTGTGAGGCATTCCCTTAATTGGTTTTTAGATGCTGTCATGAGTAACTCAGATAAATAATACAAATAAGGGGTGGAGTTTGTCACTGCTTTTCTTTATTCTCCAGTTTTGAGCTTTTCACTCTCGTGCTGTGTCTGAAACAAATTTAGACCTTGTCTGATATTTTCTCCCTCTTTGAAGTAAATGCCTTCAGAATTTAAGCCCCCTCACTTTTCATTTCCTTCAATGACTTACATTTGTGAACTGTTGTCATGTGTCAGTGAAGCATATACTAGATATGGTTTTGTGAAGTTTGCAGATTAATAGTGGAACACAAATTCTGGGAGGATCCAGGGAGGCACAGCCAGCATGGTGTGGTGGAGGTGAAACCTCACAGTGGGTGTCCTAGAAAAGTTCTGCATCTCCTCTGCCTTAACCACCTTGCTGGATTGTGTGAACTTGTGCATGAGATCTCTTCATCCACCACATAAGGTGATAATTCAAGCTGATCTCAAAAACAGGAGTCAGTGTGTTGAGATAATTTTACTTTATGGGGTATTCATTTAGGAAGAAACAAAGATCAAGGATGGGAACAATAGCTATATAAAATATTCAGAGTGATTTCTGAAGAAATGTTATTTATGAGGTTTCAGGTCATAAATTTCCACCTTATGTAGAATTCTGGAAAGATTCTGCAAATGAAGAGAATTTATTGCCTGAAATACCAGATTTATTCTTAACATCCAGCAAAATGTGGAGTATGGGAAAGGATGGGGGAAGGGCTCTATCAGGTGAGGAAATGCTGTAACATTTTGGGGTTTTCAGGTCAGCCCTTGCTGAATGTCTTTAAAAATACCACACCAGAGGGAATTGTAGATCACTCCTGCAGGCAACTTCATGCTCTCAAATTTTAGTTTATTTTTCTGAAGGAAATGATTCCTGATGTTGGGAGAAGTGATGAGCCAGGTTAGCACATCTTGGTCTACCCCATATCCTCTGTGCCTTTGGGAAGCCATTTTGTCAATACATGCTCCAGTTGCAATGAAAAAGTCAGGTTGTAAAAATGAACTTGTAATTTTCAATATTCAATTTTCAATTGAAAATATGTGAAGATTAGAACAGAAATGCCTCATATACTGACTTGTACAATTTAATTCTTTTTTAATATTCTGCTAAAAAGTAGTAATTTAAAAGACTTGTTCTGATGACAAATGCAGGTAAAACTGATACATAGATTGGAAGATCTTTACAATTTCTTACTGGTTAGAAGACTGAACTGTTTTCCTCCTTTGGCAGGAAAGGGGAAATGCAGTATTTAAGTAAAAGCCAACTATGGGTGGATGGCTGCAGGATTCTGCCTGGAATTCTACCTGGTTGATTATGCCAGACTTAATGGGGATCCAAAAAGTATGCCAAGTATGAAAAAAGTATGAAAACTCCTATAATCAACTTTAGTTCCACTCCTAGCTTCACCATAGATACAGGTAATGAGTTTGTTGGTTTTAATTAAAAGAGATCTGGCTAGAGAGCATGTTAAAACTGCTCTAAAAAGATAAATATTACAGATGAGCATCATTCTTAATGTAGGTGAAAAAGAAACCCTGATGTTCTTAAGGATTTTCTTTTTCTGACAAGATGGGGTGTCTGTCTGGTCATTTACACACTGGACAGAAAATCGTGAGGGTTTAGGTGCTCACACTTCATGCAGAGATTTGAATTCTTAGTAGCTTTTCATTTTTAGCTGTAGCAAATATTCCAGTGCTGTGATTGAAAGATGTCTTCCATTGACATGGGGATAAAGACATATCTTTTTACCTTTCCTGACTATGTTTGTGTTTTTATTGGCTTTTAATATATTTTATGCTCTGTTTTTAAATTATTCTTTAATTTTAATTGCTGTGCCCTTGAGGTCAGCCCACCTTGAGCCTGTGTGCAGCAGAAGTCAAGACTTGTCCTTCCTTTGGCTTCCATTTTTTGAGAGCTGTTTCCAGTTCCAGCCTCAATAGACCAATGAACACTGCCAGTTCAGAGGAAAATTTGCAGCTGAAATTTTATGCCTGGTTTTGGAGACATCTATTACAAAATAATTTAAGTTCTAGTAGTTTTAGCAATGTAGAGAAAGATTTAATCCAAGTTCTCATATCTTTAGAAGTAGCCCCTAATAATAGTCATCTTTGGGTTTGTTAATTCCAACTAATGAACTTTGGTGTTGGTAATATAATACTGGAACTGTGAGCTTCCCAGCGTGGTAATTCTTCATTTTAATGTCTCACTGAGACAGTTTTGTGCAGCTGAATTTGCATTTTCAAAACAAGTTTAATAATGGTAGCATTAACTCTAAAAATGTTGTTGCTTTATATTGTCTAGTTGCTTGCACAGTAACAGCAGAATGTTTTATTTATAGGTAACTTAGAAGAGAAATGCCCAGTGGTGCTTCTGTTTCTCTTACTGGATGAAAGTAACTTGGAGGCTGATTTGCAGTGAATAATCAGTGAAACCACCCAGCATTTTCTGGAATATTGCATGATCTCATCATGAAGATCTCTCTCCTGCAGCAGATGTATAAGGATGTCCTGGCAGGCATTCCCCTAGCAAGGGAAAGCCATCATTATTCTTCTTTAATTAATCTGTGTGTTGAGCAGCCACCAGAAGGAGATGAATCCTGTCATCAGCAGCATCTGCCATCTACTGCTGGTGGTGTTGGGAGCTGTGAGGACACTGATATGTCAGATGTTGTCCCTGCAACAGATGATTTATCCAACAGCTTTGCAAACATGAGCTCCTCGTTCTGCCCACGGGAGGTGATGCTGCTGCAGCTCACCTTGATCAAAATGATGGTGGCCAAAGCAGAGTCCCAGGAGATTGAACTCCACACGAGACAGAAGTACTGTGAAATCTTTGTTCTTCTTCTGAAGGAGGCAAAAATTGACTCAAAATTGGTAACTTCTGAAAGATTTATTTAGGAAAGGAGGAAAAATAAAAAGAGATGTGCCTTAGATATTTTTCCTTTTTACCTGTCTCCAGATTCACCTGCTCGGTTCTGATGATCGCCTGTTATCTCACATGGCCTCACAAAGTTTGGCATCTCTTGTGTATTTCCAGCTGAAGGAAGAGGTGAGTGCTCAGAAAATGGCTTAGTGAACCTGTGCCTGCAGGTTGTTCCATTTGACTCTACAGCCAAGCTTTTATTTCCTGAGAAACTTTGTCAGATGTCTTAGGAGGAGCCTGGAGTATGGAAGGCAAGGAGATGTGATGTGGAACAGAAGCATGGAGTGGCTTTATATATAAAAATCTGGAATTTTATGAAACTCATTTAAGGTAAAATGGGTGTAGACAATAATCTCTTTAAGGTTGCAATACAGATATTAAAAAAGCCATTATCTAGACTATCAGTGTTTTTATAGTTCCTTGGTATCTGGTGGGTGATGCAGTAGATAATAATAAATAATAACCTCTTGGAAGTTAATAAAATACTTTGGTGTATGCTCATGTTTGAAGAACCCAATTACTTGAGGGATTTTTTTTTTAATTTACTGTATATTTGGTGACTATGTATTGCAGTCTCCATAGTAGCATCCTGAACACAGATTTATTTTGTAATTATGTTTGTAATATTTCTCGCCAAGTTGTCTGGGAATTATGAATTCAGATCTGGTGTGTCTACAGAATTATCTGATTTTGGGTAGATCACATGACATTAGGAGGTTTGGGTTTCCCTTTTTGGAACATACAGATAATTTCTATTGCATGCATGTGTTGCTTCATATTTGTAATTAAAGACCTAATTAATGTCTCAGGACAGACATTGTTTCTACCTGTGTTTTGTCTGTCCCTATATTTAAATCTTTTTAATATACAATTTGAAATCATTGTATTAAGATTTCATGTAATTTGCATAACAACTGAGCGCATACGTGATTGGGTTTTGAACTCTTTTTCTTAGGACGCCTTGAACGTCCCGTGGCTGAGCTTTAGCCTGGCGGCGCTGCTGGGGTTCCCCGGCAAGGCGCGGGTGCCCGCTTGCCTGTGCACTCTGGCGGCGCTTCTCAAGGAGACGCTGAAGGACGCGCCCGGAGCCCGAGCAGGTACCACCGGTGCCGCCAGGAGGAGCAACTCACCCGGAATTCCTCGGGAATAGTTCGGCTGCAGGACACCCCTTCCCTTCCTCATGCTGGGGGTGACAAAGTGCTGTTCAAATGTAGTGGTTTGAACATATTTATGTTCTGGAAGTAGTCACAACACCGATTAATTTCTTATTTTCTGATTTATCTGTTACACCACAGGTCAATAATGTGCCTCTTGTTGCCACAGGTGTTCTGAAGAAGTTGTTGGCTCCTCTTGATGCAGTGCTTGAAGGATTTTATAATGCCATCCTGCTCCATCATTTTGACAGTCACCACTACACTTCACCTTATTCTGAAGCTGCAAACAATCTGATCAGTTTTATAGATCTGCTTGAAGCACTTTTGGTTTCCAGAACTGAACTGGAAGTACCGCTCAGGTGCCAGAGAATTTTATTTTTGAAAGTTTCTTATGCCCTCAACGTTATTAGCTCATCAGTTCCTTATGTAATCAAGAAGAAATTCATTTTGCTCCTTAAAAAATGTGTCCTTTACAAGTCCAGAGAAGATGCTAAAAGTGGATCAGCGTTCTTACAAACCCCATCTTTGTGTGAGGATATGCTTGCACTGAGTAATGTTGTTCTGCAGGTTGTGAATTTGACTTGGCTTAATCAGATCCCACTCAGTGGAAAGTCCAGCTACTTTGGAAGCAGTGAAACTGCTCCTGGACACGATTCTCAAGGTGCTTCTGACCAAACTGTTCTCAGAGCCTTAAGTCTGGTTGTGCTTAAAGCACTGGAATTCAAGATTCACAACTCTCAAACAGAAGCAGAAATCAAAGGTAACAGTCCATTTAAATTTTAAGCAGCAAGAGTTTTAGAGCTTTCAGATTTTGTAGTCACAGCTCATTAAGACTGTAAATAGATTTCAGCTGAATTAGTGGTGGTGGGAGGGAGGAAGGAGAAGACCCACCCAAGAAACTGCTCTTGCTGTGTTGTGCCTAATTAGTTGTCTCCTTGCATTTTGTCAAATCCTTAGCCCTGCAATATCTTGGGATTGAAACAGCTGCATTTGGGATTGAAAATTTTTCCTATTAACAACATTAAGCCAGCTTGAGAGCACCAGGTTATTTTTCAGCTGGATAACAATAGAAGCCATAGCACAAGCATCCACTCTGTTCAGGGTGGGGAGCTGAAAAGAGCTGCAGGTAACACTTTTAAGGTGGAGGTAGAACTTTAGGCACCATTATGCATTTATTTTGTTGAAGGAACAAGGCATTACTGTCAGCCAAGTAATGTAATGAGACAAAATCAGCTATGGTATAGAAAGGTAAATAAAAATAAGGACGCTCCAGAGTAAGGCCCAGGGAAATTATGGGACACAGAATCACAGAATAGCTTGGGTTAGAAGGGGCCTTAAAGATCATCCAGTTCCAACCCCTGCAGTGGCAGGGACCTTTTCCATTAGACCAGCTTGCTCCAAGCCCTGTCCAACCTGGCCTGGACACATCAGAGATGGGGCAGCCACAGCTTCTCTGGGCCCTGTGCCAGGCCTGGCCTCACCAGCCTCTCAGAGAAGAATTTTTTCCTGGTATCCAATCTATCCCTGCTCTCTGGCAGTGGGAAGCCATTCCCCCCTGTCCTCTCCCTCCAGGCCCTTGTCCAAAGTCCCTCTCCAGCTCTTTTGGAGCACCTGTAGGCACTGGAAGGGGCTCTGAGGTCTCCCTGGAGCCTTCTGCTCTCCAGGTGAGCACCCCCGGCTCTTCCAGCCTGGCCCCAGAACATCTCTCTGGCCTCCTCTGGACTCGCTGCAGCAGCTGCACATCCTCCTTGTGAAAATGGTTGTGTTCTTCACCCTGGCTGACACTTCTGGCCCTTCCAGTGACCAGGGCTGAGCACTCCTCCCACAGCTGCTCCCTTGGGCTGGTTTGTTGCAGTGAGGGGCTGGGTTGGGCAGAGCTGCTGCCGAGCCAGGGCTGGGCTGGGGCAGGAATAATGTATTTACTGATTATGTGGCCAAAAGTAATTTCTGTTTCTTTTTAAACAAGGATGACATTTTACAGCATTTTAAGGCATTCTAGTAAAAGTTCTAGACATAAATATTATTTTACTTTTTATATTTCTATGCTAGGTAGCAAGCCTAAAATCAATTTTTAATTCATCTATGCAAAAGAGATACAACTTCCATAAGACAGCTTATGAAACTTTTTCCAGATTTTTGGAAGATGTTATATTTGTGATGTCAGTTGCATTCTTAAAGATTTTTAAGTATTTGTAAAGAATATTTTACTTGTGATCCACCTTCTGAAAAATGTATGGAGACTGAGACGGAGCAAGAACAAGTGTAAAGAAAAAATGTAGGCTATATCCATTTTAGATGTCTCTATGAAAATTTTCTCAAAGAAAAGCATTCCCCTTTCTTTTCCACATTCATGACACAAAAATGAGTTACTTTAATTAGATTCAAACACCCTAACTGTCAAGAGGAATTTCAATCTGAAGGGAATGGTACTTCCTTATTTTAGTGACATTACAGGAAGTGTTTAAAACAAGCACCTAAATGCTTTAATATGCTAATTTCCCTTCCGGGAAGCTGCTTGATCTTCTTGTCATTAACAAGGATTAGAGTGGCTTAGCTTTAATTAATTTCAATTTTGAGAGTAGTTTCTAGATTTATAGGGAAGAGTTTCAGTCTGAAGAGTAACTATTAATAACAAAGATAATTTGATGTTCCTATTATTTGCCAGGAGGAAAATCAAATTTTAAAGTCAAATATGAAGGAAAATCACGTAGTGATGCAGTAAATAAAATTGATTTCAATGTTACAGGAAGATTTTGTTTTCCACTCGATGTCCTGTATTACATCAAAAACTGCTCTGTAGTATCTCATTAGTACTGAGGGTATAAGTTTTTTGACTTAAGGGAAAGAGTCTCTCTCTAATAAATACAAAGTGATTTTTATGAGTAAGCTACTGCACTAAAACGGCAAGAACTGATCTATAAAATTTGATGCTGTGATAAATCAGTTGAGCTAAGGAAAGAACTGCCTTCATTAACTGTTATGCACTGTTAATTTTAAAAATAAAGAGTGTGTGTTGTTTGGCAATAAAAATGTATAGCAAAGTTCATGGCGAATTTTTTTTTGCAGGAGACTTTGAGAGCTCCATGTCCCAGCTGCTGATGTTCTGGAGGAGTCATGTAAAGCCTTCCCCACAGTCTCACCCAGCTGGGCATCACTGTGAGTGGCTCTCCTTGGTTTTCATGGAGCAAGATGATGACATGTGGGAAGCTGCTAAAGCTTTATTGCTCATCTATTTAAAATTTGATAGGTCAGTGTACTCTTTTATTTCTGACAGAACTGTGAAGAATTGTACTTTGGTGAGGTTACTGTGACGTTCCCATTGGTTGCTTTTGTTGGAAGAAAAATTATTTTTTAATAATTTAAACACCACCCCCCCCCCCAAACCTGAGGATGATGTAATAATGTGTGGTGTAAGAGCTGATAATTTAAGTATTTTTTGGATGGAGATGGGAGTTGTGAAAGTTTCCTACTAAATAATTTATCATATCCTGTAATTCAGGATAATTGCCTTCATGTCTAAAATAGTGGTTACAGATAAAAAGCAAGATTGCTGCCTTACAACACTGAAGGTTTGACAAGAATGGGATATTAGAATTAAACTTCAATAATTCAGGTACTTCTGGCTGAGTTTGTAACAATTGGCCCTATGGGAATTCCAGCTACTTGATAAAAATGGTTCTTGCTAACAACTGAAAAGTGTTCTTCGTGGATTTGTCCTGGCTGTACAATGCTTCATTGTTGTTTAAATTACCATACAAGATATTATGCTGATTTATACAAAGCTCTCAAGCTTCAAGTGGGAAGATAATGCAAGTAATACCTTAGACACAGACAATTTTAAGACACTTAACTACAATAGGCTCCTCTTCCAGTGTGTGTAACATTCTGAAAGTTAGCCTGAATTCAGGTTAACAAAAATATTAAAATGAGATTGTTTCATATTTGTATTAAAGTGCAATTGATGTGTTGTAAGTAACTTTGTTTATTGCAGAAGCTTTCCTAAGAAGTGCCCTTTAAGGCCTGCTTTAAGTGCTTTGGCTTCCTGAGCTGTCTGATCTCCTGGCCTCAACTGTCTTTATTCTTTCTTACCCTGATACAAAAACTTCTCTTTTTCTTCTTACTTTTTCACAAAATTTAACAAAAGAGCACGAATCCATCTTCTGGATATTGCTGCTTTAAAAAAAAAAAAATTGTAAACTTCCACTAATGTATTTCCTGGCTTACTTTTCAGGTTACGGCGTGGTGCTGCTGATAACCTGAGCCAAAAAGAGGAGGAATCCTGGCAGTTCCTTGTGCATGCAGGTGGATATAACCCACACTGTATATTTTTATTTTTTCTGGAAAAGATTGCATTTGATTCCACAGTACTTCTAGATTTTTTGATTTCGTCAGAGACTTGCTTTCTGGAGTACTTGGTCAGGTACTTAAAGCTGCTTGGGAAGGAGTGGCATCAGTTTGTAGATGTCTGTAACCATTTCGATACCAGGCACAGCACTTTCCGCCCACTTTGTTCTGTCAAGCCACCCCACCAAGAAAAGCAAAACCTTGTGGCTGGGGAGAGTTTGCAAAATGCTCTTTGTGCAGCAGAACCACAGACTCCGAAGGCTTTGGCTCCTTCTCACAACTGCCCGGTGTTTACGGCACAGCAGGGTGATAATGAGGCTGCCGAGTGGAACCAGTCTGACTCACTGACCGGCACTGATAGCACGGCCCTGCCTGGTTCCCTTCAAAGCCTGGTTAATTATGACAGCTCAGAGGACTCGGAGGTGGAATCAGATGGAAAGGAGTGCTTGGTAAACACAAAACAATTGCCTTCAAACAATGAGGGTGAGGTGAGGAGGAGGGAAACTGGTTGTGGCTGTGGAGATGATGACCAGAATCCATGCACCTCTGAAGTGTTGCCTCCAAAACCGAAGGGATCTCCTCCCTCATCCTGTTGGACTTGTATGGCACCTCCAGATAACACTGCTCCCCTAAGAGTGATGCTTTACAAATCAACAAAGTGTTTGGAAGAGCTGCAAGAGGCTGTTTCTAGGTTGCAGAGAAGAAATCTTTTCCCATATAATCCATCTGCGTTGTTGAAACTGCTGGGCCACGTTGAGAAGATGAGCAAATCCACGAATCCACAATAATCCAAAGTGTTCTTGTGGGGTTTTTTAACAAATTCACCAGGGGATATTTCCATGAAATTAATGACTTCTTGCTTCATGCCTCTTGCACTAGTCAGTGCATTTAACCTCAGGCAGGGTGAACACGGATTTGGGTGGCACCTTAAAATCTGGCATTGCATCCAGTGATATGATCCATATCTGAGGAGGATATGGAGGAGGAGGACCCTCATGACCTGAGGGTCCTGAGCTCATTCATGGTGTGTATGTCAATGTACAATATATAAGGTTTAGTTGTTGGATATTCAACTTTTTGTAATAAATAACTCATGTGAAAGCATTTCAAAAATAGATGATATTTAAAGTCTTGTCAATTATACTTAATGGGAGTCTATTTTTGAGTTCATTGCCAGATTGGTAGTGGTTTATGGACTCGGGGCCAAGTTAGTGCAACACCTGACTGCTTACAAGTTGGGCTAAATAAAATAATATAGCTGGGGACAGTTTACTGTTTATCCTGTGTGTTCTGCATTGATGCATTGCTCAAAGTGAACCTTCAGATGTCTATATTCCTTTAATTAAAAGAAAAAGTAGATGTGGAATTAAAGCATATATTGTCTATGCAAAATTTTAGTTGAGTATTATATCTTCAAGCTTAGGTGATGCAGATGTGACATTCCAACAGAATTTTTTTGCATCCATCATGCATTTCCTATAAATATAGGATGTATATTTAATAAATCCGAAAGAGAATTAGAAAGTAAGTGACTCCAGTACAGTGAGAAGGATGTCGAAGATGTTAAATTATTATACTTATATCTTTTATTAGATGTAATTTGAATAACCAGAAGAGTGAGTGTCTGAGAGTTTGCCTGGGGGAGCGAGTTCAGAGCAGGCTCCAAGGCACTTGCACTTAGCAGGAAAGCACCGATGCTGCTGCATTTAACCTGCAGCTTGTAATGATCTGCCAAGGGTTAGGCACTGGGAAAGTCCTGACAACAGGAGCCCTGAGAAAACCTCAGACCTCTTCAGAACTGTGGGAACTAGCTTTCCTGTTAGGATCTGCTCTTGAAGGTAAGTGCTCTGTTCTGACTGAGAATAAGTAAGTGCTCTCTTCCCTTTGAATAGGAATTTAGTGTTAAATTAAAATAGGTATTGAGCTGAGATGAGCAGTCTCTGGAGCAGGTTGCTGACCTTCAGATCTCTGTGGCTATCTTCTAGATTAGTCTTTAGCCCTGACTGGTGAATCAGTGCAACTGGGAGAGGAAGAAAACTGGGTTTAGTTTATGGGATCCTTTAGCTGGCAGTTGCAGTGCTCTCCAGTGCCACTGGAATGGTATGAAGTCACAGACAGGGAGGTTTGGACCTCAGCCTTACCCCTTCAGGATGACAGCAGTGTGTTAGGCAGGAAGGAATGATCCTCTTCACTGGCATGAAGAAGATCTGAATATTCTGGGTGTTTGCTGTACCATGGCTTCTTCCTGAGATCAGGACAGCTGTTGTGCTGAGGGGTGGGTGGGAATGTCAAGGAATGGAAACCTTTCCATTTGTGCCTGCAGTTGCTGAAGTTAAGAACTAACCCTGCAGTTGTCCAGGGCAGCAACACGCCTGACTTCTCTTTGTCTGAGCCCAGTTATGCTGTAGCTGCTGAGTTGCTCATTTCTGTCAGGACTCAAATCCCTCTGGGCGTGTTCAGAGCTGCAGCTCCAGACAACTTGGGAACTTTTCAGTTCAAACACAAGAGGTGCCATGGGCAAGGTGGTTGAGCAAGAGTTTCCCAAGTTCACAATTTTCAAAGTAGGTAGGTGCTTATATTTCAGTGAAATCCTTTCCACTATCCTCACTCCTTTTCTAATCTAGACTTTGCTAAGTAGTTTATTTGAATTGAGTAATTCCATTGTTTGTTTTGAACATAAGATTCAGTGTAAAAGATTGTTCAGCATTTCTTGATCTACACTTTGCCAGTTGGAAGTATTTAAATTGCAGCAATATCTCTGACACTGATATGATAAGCTGAGTGGGAAAGGTAGAATGGTGTGATAATTTTGGATTAGTCCTAGGTTTATTTCTCAGCAATTACTACAACTATATAAGCTTTTATAAAGACTTTAGACAGAACAGTGTGTAGAATGTAGCAAGAAATGTAGGTGTCCATAACCTGATTTTTTTTAAATACAGCAAATGCAGTTGCAGTCCAATTGTATTTAATTCTTACAGGCTTGAGGCTGATTGTGTGCCCACCTGGTTATTAGAAGTATTAGAAGTTATGTTTCCCTTCTCAGAAAGCCATTGTTTTAATTCTTAAAATGTTGTTGTTGTAAAAGTGGATAAACATAGTTTGTATCTGGCAACTAGATACCTTAATGTGTTGATATTTTACCATTTATGACCTGAAATGGAGTTACATTGATGAGTCAAGGTTTTTTATTACACACAAATTGAGGGTGAACCATGAAGGTGGATTGAACTTCTTTGGCTGTATTGAGAAAACCAACCACAAAAAAAAGCACTTTGCTAAAGCATTTGTGTTTTAATCAATTGGTGAGTGTAGAAAGTGCTTTGGTTAGGTTTTGGTTGGGTTTTTTCAATGATATAAAGCTTTTAGGCACAGCTGTTGTTTCATGTGCTAGAACAAATTAATTCAGCTGCAGAATCTGTTGCCAGTGTTAAGTTAGAACTTGGGAATTGGGTCAGTGATTACTAGGAGATCAATGTGCCTTACCTTTGGGTATTGATAGCTGTCAACTTTTCTTGTATTATTTCAAAGCAAGACACACAACAGTCAGGTGACCTCTGTGGACACAGTTTTCTATCTGAGGACTCCTCCTGAAACGTTCACAGTTTGCCATTAATGCAGTTTGTTTGGTGGAGTTTACCTTCAACATCAATAGAATAAGTTAAGCTTTAATGAGGTAAGCAGTTAGCACTAGAAGTTGCTTACAAGATGTTATTTTTAAAAAGAACATTTTTTTACTTTTTAACTGAATGTTGTAGAGCTTGATTGCAGCTACAAGTGAATCCAGGTGGTTCCACAATTGTGGTTCTTCAAACTGGATTTTCTCCAATATTTTTATGGCTGTTTTCCATTCTGCTTTTAAGACTCGTAGTACAGGTTTTAATCCTGTAGTACAAGAATAAAAACCAACCTTGGGAACCTCTATACTTGCAGTACCCTTGTAAAGCTGGGAATAGGGAGCCTTGGTTGTTCCCTGGTTTATCACTGTAGGATAAGCTTTGTTTGTAGTTCTTCCAGAGTCAGTCTGGAGTGGTTTCTGAAGTCAGTATCAGAGATGTATCACAGTGGCAGTAGGAGTGAATATATTGTGGTCATAACAATGTTACTTCAGTGTGTTTCCCTTGGGGTTATCCTAATGAGTTTGTAAATTCTTGCTGTATTTTGTTTAACCTTTCTGGGCTGCCTGGTTCACTCTGAAACCTTGTCAGAAGCCAATAGTGTGTCAGAATGGATGGCAGGCAGTCTTTACTGTCCCTGTCTCCACAGCAGGTATGGACCTGGACTTCATTGAGAAACTTCTCAGGGATTTAAGCTTTTCTAAGTCGTGATCTTCTTAACTGTTGTGTAAATGAGTTTATTGCTGATAACTGATGGAGATGCCCTTTAATGCACCAGCTGGCTTACATCATGAATGGAAGGAACAACATATATTTTATGGTAAAAATCTTGCATGGAATTACAATATCCTTAATTATTTCTGGTTCCTACTTTCCCTGTACTGCAAAACAAGAGTTTTGCCAGTCAGCAGTGTCCTTTTAGGGGAGAGATTTGAAAAAAAAATGAATTGTTGGAAAAAATAGCACACACAACCTCAACAGTGAGCACTGCTGAATGTTGGTTTCCTTAAAGTTTGTAGAGAAGGTTTGCAGGTCCATATTCTGAAATTGTCAGGAATTGTAGCTGCTAATTGGACTTGTCCAAGTACCTACCCCATGTCATCCTAGAAATGAGAGTTAAAAATTAATATTTCCTATGCAACTTCAAGGAAGTTCCAAATGCTCTAAGTATTTGGAGGAAGTAATAGCCACATATTAATACATGAATAATAATTTGAAGTCTATTTTGCAAAGGAATATATATTGATTTTACTAAAAAACACAAATGACAAAACCCTATGTCCATATTTCTTTCCTTGCTGGAAAGGAAAAAGCTTTATCTTCAAGTGTCACCTTCCAGGATTTGTCAGATCTTGGAGTAACTTTGTCACTACAGATCTTTCATGGTTCTTTCATGCAGGGATTTAACTGAAACAAATTATTGCTTTCTGGACATTTACCTCTAGTAGTTGGCTTCCTTGATATTATTTGTATTCTTCAAGAAATTTGTGCCTTTCTGCTGGCACCATTACAGCTACTGTGAAAGCTGGGCAAAGACCCATTAAGCAGCAAATACCAAACTCAACCAAATTTTTTAGAAAATTATTTATCTCCTCAAGGGAGACCAGTATTTGGTCACCTTAAACAGTGCATTGGTCCCTCTAAAGGAGGGTTTCTTCAGCTCAGCTAAAATCACTGACCAGTGTGATGCCACTGTTTTCTGTAATTGTCACTTACAGCTAGATGCATAAGTGGGGATTGCTGAGTGTGAAGCATCAAAGGAATTGTCTTTGTTTCACCAAGCAAATGCTCATATTTCATGTTTTTTGTGGGTGGATAAAGATTGATGCTCCAAGAGTCCCCCAGCAATGTAATCAAACAATGTTTGCAGCATTGTCTTACGTGCAAGTGTTACAAATTGTTGAGGTTTATTTTCATATTGTTGTTAAACCAGTGCTTCCAGCTCCAAGGATTCAATTTTTTTTTGAATCCTATGTTATTCCTGTGCTGTTGGAAATGTATTAAGTAACTCTGAGTTGATTTGATTAATTGTTAAATCTCTTACTGCTGCAGCCAGAAGATTGAGTGAATTCTTCTCCTAGATTTTCAGATAGTGGCAGCACACAGGAGTGGTTTTTGGGTGAATTGGCAGTGCTGTAGGTGGAGAGGAGAACGTGACTTGTGCCTTGTACTGGAACAAACTTGGTGGCAGTTCCTTATGCAGATAAGCAGTTATATTTTACATTTCTGGTGTTTCTGGTTAACAGAAAGGGGACTTGAACAAGTATGGACAAGTTGATGCTAAATCAAGGGAAAGGGAAAAAAGCCTTCTCACCAAGATAATTTAAAGACAAAACAATTAGAATTTTGCATAAAGAATGTCACCAAACTGTGAGCAGATGAACTCTTCAGCAAATCACATCTCTGTGCCCCTGCATAGGAGAGGATTCTTAATTCCTGTCTAGGAGGCTTATTGATACAGGGTGTGTTCAGTATTGAAATGGAATACAGCCAAGGGGTTGTAAGAGAGCATAACTGTGGTGTTCCTGGCCCTGGTGGTTGAGTGTGTGAGAGGAATTGGCTGGAAGGCAGTCCCCAGGTGAGGTCTTTTCCTGGAGCCTTTTTTCCTAAGGCATATCCAAAGCCTGTAGCAGAGTGGACCAGCAGTAGAGTGTGTTCCTTCCCTGCACTGACTTTATCCTTCCACTATTGCTCCTGACATCCTCTCCTCCCACTTCATCCAAGTCATCTTCCTCCTTATTGCTAAAGCCCAGATTCTCAAAGTAATGATTTTTCTTTCTGGCTAAAATTCATGGGAATCAAGTTCTGAAAAAATAATTTCAAAAGATTTAATTGTTTTGAAGATTTCAACCTGTGTTCAAATTTTCCTCATTTGCTCCTGCAATGGCATTTGTGGATGATAAATATCTATTGCCTTAGTGGTTGCTGCATTCAAAATCAGGTATCTAGTCTTTATTTATGACAGATGGCATTACTAATTAATTAGTAACGAGCTTCTCCTTAGTGAACCTTTCCCTGGAAGGAGCTGGATTATGAATCAGGTCATACTAGGAAGAAACATCTTGAGGAAAAAGCTTTCTGAGAGATTTTTGAGACTTTTTCATTCCTTTTGTGTAAGGGAAGGTTGGCTGTGAATTCCTGTGAAAAGAAGGATCTTGGCTTTTAAACTACAGATTGCAAGATTTTAAATTATGATATTGTGACACGTGACTTGGAATGAT